AAAAAAAAAAAAGAAAATGTCTAGGGTTGAAGTATTATTAAATAGACACACACACATAAAATTCATCTTTGAACAAAAACAAGATCTTTACTATGCTTCCCACCACCCCATGGATAGCACTATTATCTGTTTTATTATTGTTTTTCACCCTTGTGCTAATATTTTTATTTGGAAATACTTTGCAGCACAGTCTTTAAATTTTAGACAGACTGATATTTTAGAAAGCAACTTTATTATTTTGATTTTCACCTATTTTATTGTTAGTAAATTTTTGTAAGTTTATGTAGTATTTTATCCTAACACCATTTTATTGAATATTCCATTCTTTCCCCCAATGATTTATAACAGTATATTACATTATGTTGTAGATACTATTATGTTAGCATATTTAAAATGTACTAAATTTATATATATCCGTGAATTTATTTCTGGTCTTCTGTAGATAAATATGACTTTTTTCTACACCAGTATTTTACTCTGTAAAGTACTGTGACTTTATAACACTTTAAATATCCAGTAAGACAAGTTTTCCCTCATCCTCCTGCCACCATAAATTTTGCCTTTTTCATTTACTCTTAAATGAACTTATTAATGTGTTCATTGGAAATGTACTAAATTTATAAATTTCAGGAAGTACATTTATTGTAATTTAATCCTGGAAATAAATGACTTACACTTTCTGGTTCTTGTTTATATATCTTACAGTGGTTAATATCACTCTTAGATACAGTTAGATGTCTATAAATACAGTGACTTTTATATATGCTGTTTCCTCTCGGTGACATATATATTACTAAGTTAAAAGCACTTGGGCTGCATAGAATGATCAAGCTGTAAATTTTCTGTCGGGAAAGGTTTTTTTTGTTTGTTTTAATCTAATATGTTTGGGGTGTGGTTTCTTTTCAGATTTATGTAGTCCGAATTTTGAGGGAAGGACAGTTAGAGCCATCATTTGTGTTCCGGACTTTTGATGAATTTCAGGAACTTCACAATAAGCTCAGTATTATTTTCCCACTTTGGAAGTTACCAGGGTATGTTCCCATTTTTGTGCATTAATCCTTTTTTTATAGGAAACAATTTCTTACCAAGTGTTGGTTAAAAGCTTTGTGTAAACATTTAGTAGGATACAATGGACCATGTGTGACTTATTTTCCTTTGTATCACAAGGGCTTGATAAAAGTACTATACATAGAAAAGGAACTATAAGGTTTTATTGAATGAATGAACAGTGAATAAATGATCAAGATCCTAAACTTAAAATTGGGGATTTTCTAGTTTTCTAATTTCAGTTGAAGCTTTTTTTTTTTAAATCATACCAGATTAGGTAAATCATTACTTAAACTACCTTTACAGTGAGATCAAGTGAGATCAAGGAACTTAGTTGAATCTTATAATTTGTTGTCTCTACCATAGTCTGCAACAGAAGATAATAATTTGGAATCTTGGTTTTAGAAAAGTCGGATTTTAAGTCACTGCAGAAATAATTATGGCCATACCAAGCTCCTCTAAAAAAATAAGCTGAGGCATTGAGACTGTTGGTTAAAATCTTAGTACTTAGTTTTGTATCTGTTACCCTTTCAAAACCCTCATTTTTAACATAGCTAATGACCAATAGATTTCCTGTTTCGGGTTGCTCATATTCTCAGACTAGATTTCAGAAGTAGAGTCAACAAAGTGTCATTATCAGAGTTTATTTCCACATGCAGTATCATTTTTCATTGGCAGCAAAATAAGCAGAGTTAAGATTATTCTTGATTTGGGCCCTACGTCACTTGTGGACACAGTATTGACAGGGTATGGGACTGATATCAACAGTAACTGTGGCTGATTGAGTAATGATTATTTTGGAGGATAAGATATGCATAAAATATTTGTGAATGGATTAATCTTTAGAAAAAAATAGTAGAAAATAAGTAATAAATAGCAAAATAGTGTCTCTTTTGTACCAAGGTTTATAAAAGGCTAACATATACTTGAACTATTTCTTCTCCAGTACTCTGAAAAGAAATTACAAAAATTTACTTTCTAGAAGATTAAGATTCCACTTTGTATTTAAGTATATATTTTTAAAATATATATATTTCTAAATAAATATTGTGCTTAATTCTATAAATACTTCCAAGTGAAATAATTTAAATCCCACTTGTGTTTTCTTTTGTAGCTTTCCTAATAGGATGGTTCTAGGAAGAACACACATAAAAGATGTAGCAGCCAAAAGGAAAATTGAGTTAAACAGTTATTTACAGAGTTTGATGAGTGCTTCAACAGATGTAGCAGAGGTGACTGTCCTAATTGAAAAAGAACATACTATTTTTTGTGCTACATGATATTTAAATTAATAATTTTTTTTCTCTTCTATCTTAGTGTGATCTTGTTTGTACTTTTTTCCACCCTTTACTTCGTGATGAAAAAGCTGAAGGAATAGCTAGGTCTGCAGGTAAGATTTTTTTTTTTCTTTATTGATAATTCATGGCTTCCCTATGATTTGCAAGTTACCATTTCTCAATGAATGTGGTAGAGTGACAGTGGGGTTACTGACTATACTCCAGTGGGAATGAGAGGAGGGTATTCCTTCTAAGCCCATCAGTTTCTGGATAAACATAATTTTCCTAATAGAATGTGATTATTAAAGACCATAAATCAGGGCGCCTGGGTGGCTCAGTTGGTTAAGCGACTGCCTTCGGCTCAGGTCATGATCCTGGAGTCCCGGGATCGAGTCCCGCATCGGGC